ATGTTAAAATATTTAAAATTTAAAACATTTGAAGTAAAATGTTAAGCTCCTCCTTGTTAATTCATCCCGAAGATGGGAGATGTCAGCTTGAGGATGTATGGCTTATGGTTAGATGTTTCCTATGTGCTGTGTGTTGTGAGTACACAACACACAGCACATATATTCTAACATCGGCGTTTTAACTTGAGGGCAGTTTCGGATGAATGTGAGAATTGAACGTGCATTCAACAATCCTAGCAAGTGTTGTGCTTCTACACGTCGACATATTGTAGCAGCGTTCACGCGGCAAACATAACTGTGTACATCTTAAACAACGGCAGTGTTTTCATGCTTGTACTATGTGCCTCTGATGATGGTTTTATTAAACCGAAACATGTAAGGCAGAAGTGATAAAGAAGTGACCTATAAATTGTTACACTCGACGGACTTTCTATTGACTTTGTGACTGATAGTGTAACGGACCAAAAATGAAACAATTCAAAATGGTCACATTTGCCTATCTGTATTTACTAATCAAAAAAATGTACACCAATGATATAATTTCCACCGTCAAGTCCAATTTGCATTCCTTCCTTTTTAAAAAGCCATTAATCCTCATTTGTTTAGTAGCACCTTTCCTGTTCAAACTAAATAATAATCATTCAATACTAATGATGTGCTCTTGACCTCGAGCTCATTGCCTGGTACGTAAGACAGGCTCAATGTCACATAGCACACAGCTAACAGTACAGAGCCAAAATGGCAACTTGCTACACCACATTCCAAAAATATCAACTGCTGGTACTAGTACTGACGTGTACCAACATTTGTGTGTGTGTGTGTGGTAGTGTTGCTTTTCCAGTCTGGGATTAAGTTTCTTCGGGACCAAAAATTCAGACCAACATGTGGGAAAATGATAAATGAAAGAATGATTGATACAGGTTTTATTACTGTAGTTTAAAGATGATTTGTTCTGGGACCTGAATGATGGATTCAGAAAGTGATCCATCCAAGAACGATAGATAGATCAAGGTTGGTAATATCTTTGCTTACTTTGCTCGAGACATGAAGTCATCATATAAATATCTCTGTCGCTTTGAAAGACGACACATTACGATATGCTCATATTTCTTCGGTAACTGCTTCTCTACTTCTGTCTTCAGTCGGCGAAGCAGAAACGGCCGCAACACCTGCAAAAACAATCTCCTCTTATGTAAGATTTGAGGCTTTCACAGCGGTGACTATGAAGAAAGCAGTCTTCTGGGATTTGGCACCGTGTATATGTGCAGACTGGTCTGCTTTTACCGGTTCTCACAGTCTCTTCGCTTGTGGATTTCTTATATTATTCCTTCTACCCTGAAGATGGAGGTGATACGTTCCTCCGAAACATCGGTTAACACCACATATATACGGTGCCAAATCCCAGAAGACTGCTTTCTTCAATTTCGTATTAATTTTACAATTGCATATTACCTTTACTTAGCAAAAAACAATCTGTTATTATAAGAAAATGAGGCAGAAACTTGAAAATTGTGTCATCTGGTGTTATAATGTGTTTACACAGGATGAATGTGATACCCAAGCAGAAGCCTATATGGGATATACTAGATGACACTATTTGTGAATCTGTACAGATGAACTTAAACCATAAAAAAACACTTCAGTTTTCACACACATCTTGATACAGCTACTTTCCTGGTTCTTAATAGCACACCTAATATATCGCACCAGAACATCAAACCTGGCGCCAGCTCGCATTCTGCACAAAATAATTTCTATAGCAATCTCATACCCACTTCCAACATCCATACAGTCACATTTTCAGCAAGTATTGCAACAATGTGAGAAGTAGCAAACATAACTGTAAATAGTGAAGTTAAGCACATGCCTATGCTGAACAAAAAATGTTTCATTCACAAATTCATAAACAATTGTTTTCACTTTTATAACCCCCTTTACAAACGAACATGTACTTGACAGGATTCATTCCCTAGCAATTGAAAGAAAATATTACAATTATTTTACATGCGAACATAGACATACTACATTTTATGACAGTTCAATATGAAATTTTTGGTACTTCTGAACAAACAAGGAAATTACAGAAACGCAGTAACAGTTTATCTGCATTATTAAAATTCACTTAGACTAGAATGTGCAAAGTTTTCAGCTAATGCTTTTAATATGTAGATCACAAAGTGTACTACATACAAGATGATTATATTTTCAAAATATATGGTTAAGAGCAAACTAATGAGGCAGTATTGACAAAAATACTTAAAGAATGCTTCTGATTATTACCAAAAATGTTTCCCGCTCATTTCGTCGCTTTTCAAGATGGGAAAACAATCTGATAATGGAATTACGATTTCCCAAAGAAAATAAACTCTGAGACATTTGATGAAAACTGGAGAGATTTTGTGAAGCTCTGGTTACTTTGTACAAAGGACTAACATACAGTCAGTGACATTTAGTGGAAACTGGAGAGAACAGTTTTTGAAGCTTACAAGAGTAAGGAGGATGTAATTTTAGAAATTCCTCACATGACAGAAAACTTACTATGTGGTTCATCACAACACACACACTGGAAACTCAGAAGATTAACATACAAATCAGATATTTTTTTTCAAAATTATCTTGAAGATTGAGCTTGCAAACTATTTAGTTAATTGTATTGTGTCATTTACTGTATATTTAAGAAATATATTACTTTCTAAATGGAAAAGTGTGCTCATTCTCAGACAAATGCCTCTGGTTCAACATAAAGAAAGAAAACGAATGGACATTCCTTCCTTCAGGAACCTGATACACTTTATCATCACTGAACAAATCAAAACATATACGAAGTGTGTTCAGGAAATAACGGGAATTTTAAAATTTCGCGGGTTTGGAGAGTCCAATTGTCAAAATTTTTTTTTATTATGTTGGTATACATGCCCCTGAAGTACAATAAAATTTTCAGCTGTATTCATTGCTTACTTTGTCTGTGGCAGCCGCTAAGGTTAGACGTGTTTTTATGAGCTTGGCGATTTTCGTTTGTTAAAAGAAATGGATCAAAGAATTTGTATCAAATTTTGCGTAAAAAATGAAATAAAGTGTTACAAAGTGTGTGAAATGTTAACAAAGGCCTATGGTGAGTCTGTTATGAGTAAAACAAGAGTTTACGAGTGGTATAAGCGTTTCCAAGATGGCCGTGAAGACGTTGCAGATGACGAGCGCCCCGGACGCCCCAGCACATCAACAACCGATGAAAACGTGGAAAAAGTGAAAGCAATGATTATGAATGATCGCCGAATCACAATCAGAGAAGTCGCTGATGATGTTGGCATATCGATTGGCTCATGCCATGAAATTTTTTCGAATGTTTTGGGTATGAAACGCGTGGCAGCAAAATTTGTTCCAAAATTGCTGAATTTTGAACAAAAACAGCGGCGAATGGAAGTTGCTCAGGAATCACTAAAGGAAGTCAACGATGATGCAGAATTACTGAAACGTGTTATAACAGGTGACGAAACATGGGTTTACGGATATGACGTTGAAACTAAGGCTCAATCGTCTCAGTGGAAGCATCCTGGATCGCCAAGACCGAAAAAGGCTCGACAAGTGCGTTCGAACGTGAAGGTTATGCTTACTGTGTTCTTCAATTTTAATGGCATAGTGCATCATGAATTCTTGCCTCAAGGTCAAACGGTCAATAAGGAGTACTACCTGAAAGTTCAACGCCGTTTGCGTGAGGCAATCCGAAAAAAACGCCCGGATTTGTGGAAAAACAATTCATGGCTTTTGCACCACGATAATGCACCTGCTCACACTTCGTTGCTTGTTCGTGAATTCTTGGCCAAAAACAATACTGTAACGATGCCCCAGCCTCCATATTCGCCAGACATGGCTCCGTGTGACTTTTTCCTATTTCCAAAAATAAAGAGAACCTTAAAGGGCCGTCGTTTTACAAGCATAGATGACATTAAAAGCGCATCGCTGAAAGAGCTAAAGGCTATCCCAAAAATCGAGTTTGAGAAGTGTTTCGATGATTGGAAGAAGCGCTGGCGTAAGTGCATAATATCGAATGGGGACTATTTTGAAGGCGACAACATTAATGTAGACGAATGAATAAATATTTTTTCCAAAATACGGAAATTCCCGTCATTTTTTGAACACACCTCGTATTCCTTCATTCTTCTAATGTTTTAATGCGGTAAGCCCTTGTGGGAGAAAGTTTGTTTTATGCAGAGTTCTATCCTCTGAGATGAAGCAGTTGTTTCATACTGGTTTCTTACTTGGATTTATCTTCAATCCTGAAGATGGAAGTAAAATGTTCCTCAAAAGCACTGGTTGACTTTCAATAGACAACACAGTATTACATCCCAGAAGAAACAACTCTCCACGACCACTGTTGTGAGAACCACAAATACTTTGTCTTTTATATTAATATATGCATAAGAGAAAGATGAAATAAACTTGCAACTTAGCAAATGCACTACTTACTGCATGTAATGCAAAGGAGTATGAAACAAAACACATTAAGCTCCTGTTTCTGCTATCCAAGTATCTGCAATTTCCATACAACCCACGAAAATTTAAAATAAAATCATCCATTTCCATACAGTTATTTCCACAATAAAGCTGCCATGTTCATATGTTAACCTGACCCATGGCAGTTTTCCCAGCTGCAACAAGATGCACTGTCTTCCTCTCTCTTGCAGGTGACATTACAGCCACAGTGATCCAGAATTAAAGCAGCTAGCTGAATTTGTGATTGCACATTGCTGTATATACAAAAGTGTTCACTCATCAAATCATTAAGTCGCCTAAGAAGACTCCCAAGCAACAAGCAAAGCAAGAACACATTGTTTCAACTTTATAACAGAAAACTGATTCCAAACTTATCTTTTTGCAACTATATTTTACCAATGAGTACAAAAGCAAAATATATATTCTATATAACCACCCTGCTTTTTAAACATATTTTTCCCTAATCTTCTTAATGGCATCATAATAGCAAGTCTTTGGTCATGCATATAGCCACTGATGCACCACTTTCGATACGTCATCACACTGAAATCTTCTTCCTCCTAAGAGCTTCTTTAAGTGCCCCAAAAAAGTGAAAATCAGATGGCACCAAATCTGTACTGAGCTGGATGTTCAAGACTTCCCACTTAAATTTCCCAAGCGTTTCCAATGGGTGGGCCGCAGTATGGAGACAGAAGCTGTCCTGCAACAGGATGACCTAACAAGTCTCCCTTATCTTTTACAGCAGACTGCAGGCTTCATACCTCTCTGAAGCACGTCACAATAGGCTGCACTTGTGACAGTCTTTCCACCTTCCAGGTAGGTCTCAAGAATAGGCCCTTGGGAATCCCAGAAGATGGTCAACATCAACTTGCCTGCAAATGGTTGCATCTTGAATTTCTTTGCAACATGAGATGATGGTTGCTTCCATTGCACGCTCTTCTGTTTGGTTTCTGGTTGATAGTGGTGATCACAGGTTTCATCACCTGTGACAATCTGCTGCAGAAAGATGTCACCTTCACGAGGCAGGTGCTGGGAACAAATGTCTAAGCACATGCACTTATGTTAATCAGTCACTTCCTTAGGTACCCACCTGGCACACACTTCATGGAACTGAAGGTTATCATGCACCACAGTATAGGCAGACCCCAATGCTGATATTCAGCTGTTTTGTAATTTCATCGACTGTCACTCTTTCGTTTTGAAGAACCAGTTCCCTAGCTCTTCCTTCATTCTGTGCAGTTGTAACTGGGGTTGGATGACAAAAGCATTCTGAACCAGTCAAACTCATACGGCTATTTTCAAACATTTCAATCCACTCGTTCACAGCTCTATGAGAGACAGCACTGAGCCCATAATGAGCATACATGTGCTGATAAATCTGTTCACTTGGCACACCTTCGGTCCACAAAAAATGTATCAGAGATCACTGCTCCTCGTTGGTGCAATTCTCAAGTTTCGCTGCCACATAAATCGCTTCATAACAACTCTCACACTAACTGCAAGGTCAACAGGCTTGCCTTGCCAACTAGTCACATGGCACCATACAATATCCTCATGCCTCCTACTTGTTCTATTCTTGGAAACATAAAAGTGCAGAAACTTTTTGAAGACCCCTTGTATATAGAGCACTGGGAAAGGGTAAAAACGTATAAAAACCAGGATTCTGTAATTTTTCTCATGTAACTTCAGACTCATATGACCAGAAAATACTATTCCCGTACATGACCAGCAACAGAGAGTTTACTAAGTAATGACTGCCAATGCCAACACATCAGAGGTTGTCCCAAAACTGCTCATAATTACTATGACATTTTCTTTTAGTTTCGCTGGGAAGCAGTGAATTCACCAACTGAAGAAACTGAGTAAATCTAATACTGATATTATTTATTTGCAATCCCTCAAACTCACTCATGGAGCTGAGCCCTTCTTCAGAAGCTACTAATTGTGCTGCTATTCAAGAATTTCCAGCATTTTATGGAATCTGAAGGTTCACTGCTGTGTTCACAAGAGCCCCCCACTGGTCCCTATCCCGAGAGTGTTCAATCCAATTCATACCACCCTATCTAAGGTCCATATTAATATTGCCCACCCACATACGTCTTGGTCTTCCCAGTGGTCTCTTTCCATCTGGCTTTCCAACCAAAATCCTATATGCATTCATCTTCTACCCCATTCATGCCACATGCCCTGCATATCTCATCCTCCTTGACCTGATCGCTCTAAGTCATGAAGCTCCTCATTATGCAGTTTTCTCCAGCCTCCAATCACTTCAACTCACTTCGGCCCACATATTCTCCTCGGTAACCTTTTCTCAAACACCCTATGTCTATGTTCCTCCCTTAATGTCAGAGACCAAATTTCACACTCATTCATTCATATTTTATTTTTCTGTTGATCCAGGTACAACCAGTGGATATAGAAAAGTCAAAAACGAATACAAGACAGTACAATAATATTAAGACATGCAATCATTAAACGATTTTGTTGAAGAAAAATAAAAATAGTAGAACAGTGTAAATATTGATACAATGATGTTAAAATTACCATCAGAAATACTTATCTAGTTTTATGCATAAAAAAAAATCATCCCCAGTATAAAAAGAATGCTCATGCAAATAATTTTAATGTTTTTTTAAAGCTTTTAATATCACATGCCAGGTCCTTAACCGTTCAGCGTGGTTTAACGTGTATGTTTCGTCAGGTATTTAAATCGTCTGGGGGGGTTCGACGTCTATGTTTCGTCCAGCTGCACACCTATGTTATAACGCCCATAATAATTGATGGTTTTGCTGTAGATTGTTAGATTTTTCGCTGGCCTGTTGTCACAAGGACTATCTATAATGAGACACGACTTTATCTGCGCTAAGTCATCGTTACATATGCCTGTCTTGCAGCAAAGTTCCTGTTGCTCTTGCGAGC